TCGGCTTACTTGTTGGAGTAAACGAGATCCAAGTACTCTATTACGACCGTTCTATCATTGCCGTTTCTGAGCCCTTCCCAATGGTCAACCTCAAGGAGCCTGACGGCCTCGACTGTGAGGATGAACGCCGCTTCGTCGCACTTCTCATCTGTCTGCATCGAGCGACTCTAGCGCAGCGTGGGATCATGGAGAACCTGATGCCAGATCCGTTTTTGGAGGTGTACCAGAAATACACCGATAACATGGCGAACGATCCCAAGACGCTCTTTGTTGGGAAGCAGATCAAACTCCAAGTCGGCGGCAAAGCCGTCTTTGTAACGCTAGGGCTCGTCCTTATGCGTCAACCAGGAATCATTGGACGGAACACTTGTGTCGTTGAAGGAACGTCCGATGAATGGCCGGGCATGGACCTGGTCGTTAAGATCAGTTGGCCTCCGTCCTCCCGGGTATCTGAGAACACATTCGTGGAGCAGATCAAGGCAGCGGCAGAGGCGCAGGAAGATACGGCATGGGTGTTGGACCATATTCCGACTATCTTGCACTCTCAAGATTTCCATCTCCAGCCAGATAGTCCTGGAAGCAAACTCCGGAGTACCTATCGGGCCCGGATGTCAAGTTTGTCGACGACAAGGCGTTCTACTACGAACACCGAGTATGTCGAGTGAGCGTTCATGAGCGACTTTACCGCCTGGATGCTCTAACGACGCCGGAGGATTATGCACAAGTGATTTTCGATGTATATCAAGGTATGTTCTCCCGGCTTTGTCTGTGCTACAACGCTGACTTTGTTTCAGTACACCGTTGGATCTACGACCATCCTCGTATTATCCATCGAGACCTGAGCCAAGGAAACATCATGTGGCACAAGCGCAGGAATAGAATCTGTGGTGTCCTCAACGATTTTGATTTGTCGTCTTCCCGAGACGCGATTGGCGCATCCTCCAAGCAGCGCACCGGAACTCGACCCTTCATGGCTCATGAGCTGCATGCCCTGGACGCTAACGGAAACCCTCCCGTTCATCTATACCGTCATGACCTCGAGTCGATCTTCTACCTCATCGTTCTTCTTACCTGTGCCTACGCACTCAAGAAGGTACCCAGCAACGATGGCTCTTATCTCCACGCCAATAAATCCTCTCCTTACCACTCATGGTTCTCTATGACAGACGACCAGCTGTATAAAGAGAAACATGCAATAATCTCGACCTACAATGCGCGCGCTATTCCTGTCCCAGATAATTCCTTCAAAGACTTCGCCGCTTGGAATAAGGGGCTATACAAAACTTTCGAGAAGGGTATAGCTAACAGGGGCCAATGGGCACGGGAAGCTCCTATTAAGGATGAAGAAAACGAGGAGAACGAGGAAGATGAGGACAGTGAGGACAGTGAGGACAGCGAAGAAGAGCACAACAACGACGATCAGGATGCCGAGGATGGCGCAGGTGACGATGACGATGACGATGATGAGGATGAGGAAGACGACGAGGACGAAGGCAACGACGCCACGGATGTAGACGACAGTTCGCGAGCACATCCGGTCTTTGACGAAGAAACCATGGGCGGTGCTGTTACCTATGATGCCGTCTTGGCTATCATGAAAACCTTCGGGAGGATTAGGCTGGCAAGAATGAGCGTGGCAAGAAGGGGCGTGTCAAGAATGGACGTAGCGAGAAGCGGTCGCTCGAAATGATGTATCCCATTGCCAAGAAGGATTAAAACGCTGTAACTTTACTCATGTATGATATGTAGCAGAGATTTTTGATATGCATTTGAATTTATGCGACTAGATTACTCTGGCTGATAGCAGCACGTTCCACAGTCGCTTCCTCTAGAACTCTTGAGTCCAAAAGGTCAGTGCTAAGCAAGATTATTCTCCGCATAGACATAATAATGTGGCTATTGCCAGCCGCCAGTAAGCTGTTACTACTTTCCGGTCTGTCCACCACAAGTTTTCGGTGTTTTGTTGGAAGACTTTTCCACCCTTGCATATACTGATACAAACCGTTTATCTCCCAGTTCTTTTCAGTTTGCCGAAAGATTGGCATTTTCAGACGAGTTTCAATGCAGGGTCCAAATGACAATTAAGAGATACACTGACATTAAATATCAAAAAATCTATGGTCATAAACGTTAACGAGGACGTGTTCGTTGAGGCATGGTGTGTCAGAGTTAGCATTATCATCAATTCCTTCCCTCCTGCTCCTCATCCCGCTTCTTCTTCTCCTCTTCGAGACGAGCCATAACCTTGTCGACCTCATGCTGCCAATCCGTCCTCAAGCACAGCAGAGATCCAAAGACGGCACAGTACACCAACGACACGGTAAGGCCAAGCCACAGACCGTGAAGCCCCATGTGGGCTTTGAAAGTAAGAAGGAGTGCGAGTGGAATACCTAGACGCCGGCGATCAGTCGACGAGCAGTTGAAGAGTGAATCACGCACCGATGATGTAGTACGCGCTAAGATTCAGGATGGCGCCAGTAACTTGTTTCGCGGCACGATAGGTGCGTTTCTTTCCTTCCTCCCCCTTCCTTGTGTGTGGTTTACCGATGCGTTGTGGGCAGGCCGTATACTGTGAGCATGGCGAATGCCGGTCCGGGAACGAACGGGTCGCAGTTTTTCATTAGACGACGACGACGCCGTGGTTGAAAAGAAGCATACGATCTTTGGGAGGGTGATTTCGGGGCTGGAGGTTGTGCATGCGATTGAGAATGTGAAGACGAATAAGGGGGATAAGCCGTTTGAGGATATTAAGATTGTCCAAAGCAATATACTTAGCCTGAATAGTACTCAATAGCAGCCTTAGAACGTTCATTTCAAGAGCACGGACGAGCAAGAGATGCAACACTATCTTATGCGCAACAGCGTACACCGTTTGTAATATTACAATGGAAAGTGTGCCGGTCAGTATATTGTCTCTGATGTGGCGCTCCCAGTCTTCGTCAGTCTGCACGCTCTCATCAGGAAGACCTAGTGTAGGCGGGTGTTGAAAGCACTCGCCGACATGCAGCGTTCGATAAGAACGTAGTCAGCGGACCATTGCAATTAAAACGCAGTAGCATACAACCTATTGGCATCAATCAGCTTGCCTGTGCAGAACACTCGTTAACCGTACCCAACGGAACAGAAGCAATACCCCCTGCGCACCAGCAGAAACTCTTTTTGAGACACGTCGCCCTTGTTCGGAATAGTCCTTGTAGTCTAAATACTGGGAACACTGCCATCCAATGGCTATGAGCTTAGTAAATTCTTCCTTCGATACGGAGGACTGCAGCATCACCGGTTCCGCGACACCGTCCATGTGAGTAAGTGGTCCAGTTTAGAATCAGCGCTAGAAACAAGTATCATAAGCCATGGAGGTTTCGATTGAGATCGTGGGTCTACTAACCAGTGGCATTATGTTCAACTTCAATAGGGACAGGCCGTTCATCGTTTGAAGACAAAACCTTCGTAACGCATGCTTCGGAAAGAATTTCGGAGTTCAGAAGACCAGCATTTGGTTCATGGGACGTGTTGTCAACATATGATCTCGACGCCACTCGTGAAGTCAAGATTTCCAGTGGTCCCATGTGCTGCGGCCAGGGAGACAGAGTATTCTTGAGTGGGTGTCCACCTTTCCGCGGCAATGAAGATTCAAGAATGGGAGAACGCTGGACCAGGACTAATTGTCTCCGTTTGAATGGATATCGACTTGATCACCTGCATCGCGCGAAGCCGAGGCAGCAGCATCGAACATAGATTCTAGGGAGCATATCCATTCTTCGACTTGAAACGAGAATTGGTGGGCGGCCGTGCGATAGTAAAGTCAACGTTACTTGACAAGTTCGTGGCAAAGTACTTGAGTGCACAGCCACCAAGCATTGAACGGCAACATCCGGCCACAGGTCCTCTCCCGTCCTCCATGTTCTTCAATCGACTATGGCCGTCCTTACGGCCAGGCGCACCCCTCATGTCCAGACTTTTCTCCGCATCCGCCATCGCTGAAGCCGGATACAAAATGAAGTCGCACAAGGGCGCAAAAAAGCGGTGGAGATCACTGGGCAGCGGGACCACATTCAAACGCGTGCGTCTCCCTATTCGGCAGCTGGGTTTGGGGGGCTGGAGCTGACTATGGAAAATAGGCCAAAGCGTATCATCAGCATTTGAACGTGGACAAGGCGCCGGGGAGGAAGAATAGGCTCGCGCAGACTGCGTACGCGACGCCGGCGCAGGCGCATAAGCTGAAGAAGCTGCTGTTACCGTATGGTTCTCATTAGAGGTATGTTTTGCGGATGTCTCTTTGTCGTGTTGTCTAATTTGGCGGCAGAGTTTACTTGTATATTGTTTATGAATTATACGCGACGTTATTCAGAGCCATGGCCCCGGCTTCTCGTTCGCCTCAATGCTATTCTCCAAGTGTTCTGTCCCGCACTCTGGAGTCTTTGCGCTACATCAGGATTTTGCGCAGCGAATGTCTGTTCTCTTCTAGAAAGTTGAATGTATACGTCCCGACCAGTCGTCTTCACAAGATGAATTGCGAGCGCAGCCAGCAATCATATCCTTGTACGAGGAACCTTTCTCTCGGCTCCTTTCACTTTCTCTCAACCATGCTCATACCTCGATGAACCTGGTTTCTCAAAGAGTAGTGGTTTGCTCAATGATTTCTTGTCGGATCGCATAACAAAATAGGTGAGAGTCACATTTGTTTCTGGACTCAACTGCCATACAGCATATTTCTGGGTGCTCTTTTCTGTCTCTGTTAGTCTATAGTCTTATCCTACGGGCGCGTTTTCCCTTACACTTCTTGATCGTAACATGGTTCGGTTGGATATCTCACACCGGACGAGGCAGGATAATTCTCTTACCAATCATTCTCAGTTGTGTGTCACTGTTAGTACTCCTTTCCTCATTCATTTACAGTTATAAACGCAGCCAGCCAGTCTTTATTCGGGGAGGTTAGCTTCTGCCAAGTAGCGATTGTATCGAGGTTGGGTATTATATGATGCCGTCAAGAACATTGACATGTCGGTATCGATTAGGGGTTAAATCACCTCGTTGTGGCGTTGCTTTCCGAGGAGCCACTGGTTCGATTCCAGTTACCGACAAGTGAAGAGGATGTTTTCTCGAATTTTTATTGCACTTGACACTGAAAGCTTTGTTACCTAGACGTGAGAACTCCGTGAATTGTCCCCATCTTTCATAAACTCTGAAGATTCTCACTTATGGTGGGTGGTGTTCCTTAACTCAATCTTATGAGACTTGTGTGCCATGCCCAAAGAGAGTCATTTCTTCATTTTAACTTGATGCCAAAGTGAAATCCATTATCCATCAGACTCGTTGCTGGGCCAGCCCACAACGCAGATGAACATGAAGTTGTGTCGCAAGGCAGGACAGAGTGTGCTCAAAAGAGAGATGATGACTCAAAGATAAACTTCATCTCCGTGGATGAAGCGATTCAAGGAAAGAGGGATGAGGTCACGGGTCGGATTGCATTGACGGAGCACCAATCTTCGCCACCACCATGTTCTGCCCTTGGTCAGAGACGGCCACTTTGAGGAAATTGGACGTCAGCCCATAGACCTCCTTCCCCCCCAGTCAAGAGTCGACAAACACGAGTTTTGGATGAGTACTTCTCGCCACACCTTGGCCGGTAATCAGATGTTGGGTTTTCCTAGCATAGTCGACAATCGTTCGTCTTCAGAGTTAAAGTTCACAACTTTTACGGCTCTCGATGATAATAAACAAATTGCTATCAGGAATTCACATCGCATTATGATTTCAACCAGGTTCATACAAATAGCAATACAAAAAGACATCAATAGATAACCCAACGACACACAGAATAATGGTATCACATAGTCTCGTCTCCATCTCCATCCTTGTCATGCATCCCAACCTCTTCCACAAAATCACCAACCAAATCCTGCAGCTCCCTAACCAACGTGTCCCGATCCCACTCTGACCGCCTTCTCCACACCGCACCCAGACACGTCGCCCGCAGCTGTTCAAGCTGCTCCACATTCAGCGACGACGTGTTTCCCCGTAAACTTCCTTGGAGTTGCGAAAGAAGCCCTTCGTCAACGTGGAAATCGGGAAGCGGCGTAGGCGTACGCGGCGGCGGCGGCGGGCGGGGAGGTGTGGGCTCACGAGGTGGTGCCTCAGGCGATTTGGATTTGGCCTTCTGAGGTTCATCCACCACCATGGCGCCGGACGAAGCGGATTCCGCTGGCTGCGACAAAGGTCTGTCAACAAAAGGATCGTCCGGATCAAGCTGTTGAGCGAAACCATTAACCATGGGTTGCCCGTCGTAAGGTAGGGATGGAGTACGCCGTAACTCAGGAGGCGCAGGAGATTGGTAGGGATGCGAGTAGGACGGATGCGGAGGTGGGCGATCGTAAGGCTGTGGTTGCGAATGTAGTTGTTGGTAGGGTTGTTGAGGTTGTGAATGTTGGGACCATGGATCGCCCATAGAATGCGACGGCTGCTGCGACCAAGGCTGGTCTACCATAGGGTAATGGTTGTAATTGGAACCAGATCCATACGAAGAGGGCCCGGCAGGCTGAGAACCCATATACGAGTCGGGTGGAATAGCTTGATGAGACGAAGTAGACGCATATGCATCGTACCCATACCCGCCAGAAGCAGAATTCTGCTGATAGGGATTCGGCGGATACATGTTTGAAGGAGGGAAAGTCGGAGGCTGGAATGACGGGTATGTGCTTTGCACAGGGCTGTGATTCAATAAAGAATTGACGTTCATGGAACCGCCTTGGCCATTGGAATGACTATTGAATGTCGATGGGAAGGCTTGCTGGGTTGAATACGGGTGAGAGTGCTGCGTATGATGCGGCGGGAGTTGATCTGCAAAATGCACGGTTGGTCGCAAAGTGTCAAGAGGGTCAATATCCGGATCTGCGTCTGCATCTGCGTCAGCGTCTCCATCGACTTCGCCAAGCATCCTGGAGCGTTTGGCTTCACGACTGTCGCTGTCAGAGGCATTCGAGTCGGTCGGCAATCCTTCACGCTGGCGCTTCAGCCTGCGCTCGAGCTTCACTGGATCAGTCAAGACAAGCTCTGGAGCGAGTCCGTTCTGCCTCGTGCTGCGCCTCGCAACCACCTCCACCTCAGGCTCCTTTCCCTTGTCTCGTGCTGCTAATTCCTTCTTGAGCTCTTCCCTCCGCTTCTTTTCTCTCGCAGCCATGCGTTCACATTCCATTCGGAACTGAGCATCAAAATCCTGTATACTGACCTGTGCCGCATTATACATCTGCTCAGCTTTCAACAGGCGGTCATGGTCTTCATAATCGCGGATCCTTGCGTTGTGAACAATTTTTTCGACATCGTCAAGGAATTGTTGAGGCGTAAGGTAACGATCCTTGTAGAGTGCGGTGTGCATGCGCTCCAAATCCATGTTATAGAGCTGAGGCATAGTCATTTCCGGGGCGGGAGTAGGGGCTGGAGCGGCAAGACCATTGACATGTCCATTGACCGTAGGTTCGACCACCTGTTCTTGCACCATAGACTGCATAGGCCCATCCTCTGTCATCTGCACGTCGGTAATCTGAACAGTGTGAAGGTACGCTGGTGCTACATCAAAAGTGTATTCGTCCTATTCGTGCAGAAGTCAGCGAAATCCAGCGTACAAAACGCAAAGAAGACACACAGTAACTCTCTTCGTGAATCGCTTATGTTTCCTTTTCAATTCCGTCAAAATTGGACCCAATCGGTATTTCAGCAACGTTATTATGCGTTGGTCATTTTGCGCCTGAGATGCCAGTTCTGCAGGGGTTGGTTTGCGCGGCTCCAAAGGAGGTGCAATCGGTAGATCTTCGAGCACCCGCTTTCTGCGCTTGATACCGTCCGTGAACTGATTTGGAGGTCGTCTGATGTCCTTGATCAATCCCTCGAAGAACCTTTCACGCAGCTCGTCTGTGGGTGCAGCCAACGGGACACGGTTGTCCTTTGACGGCCCAAACCATGCACGGACGTCGCGAGGAAGGTCCTTGAATTGACCATCAATGATAGCAAGGAGAAGGATTGGATCAGTAGGTGCCAAGGTATCGAGCATAGCCTTGACCGTCGAGCGAGCGGTTTCGGAAATAGTCGCGCACCACCCAATTAATGAAGGTATGTAGATGATCGAAGGCTGGTGTCTTTTCGCTTCTACAAACAGCTGAACAATTGCCGCTTCAGCCGTCTATGAGGTTGTGAATAATACGAAGAAGTAGGTAAGTAACACACATACCCTCGTCGCATCACCAAGAAGTGTGCCGAGTTCCAGGCTCTGGACGTGATATCCTTCGAGATGATGTAACATGGCGGCTCCAATGTACGTTTGTCCCATGCCAGGTGGACCATAGAGCAATATCCGCGGTCGATGTACCCGCAACGTTTCCATGGCTGGATGTTATGTTAGCTCAGAGTAAGGATGGAAAGTGCACGACATACATTGCATGAGCAGCTCACGATCCAGAGCGACGTTTTCGTCGTCTTCGTCCTCAAATTCCGCTTCCTCGAGAGCAGTGAGCCTTTTCTCGGTGGGAAGAACCCGCTGTAGAACAGTCTTCGCTTTCTCGAGTGTCTCGGACAGCAGAGGTTCGAGCTGAGGTGGAAGTGGGGTCGCCACAGAAGCTGAAGACCTTGCGGAAGATGGAACCAGTTCTGAGTGAACACCGTCAGTCGACATGAGGATTGCGTCCACAAAATAACGTACTCTTGATTGAGATCATGAAATCTCTCAAGCCCACGGTAATCGAATCAGGCTTCAACAAGAGTCGGTCGTTGGACTTGTAGATCTGGGGGTATTTGCGCTGTATGGCATTCAGAGTTGCTTCCGTACACAGTGCCTGCGAAGAATGAGCGAAAGTTAAATGATGGAAGCGGTCTCACGTACTCGAAGATCAGCTCCACCATACCCTTTCGTCATTTGCGCCAAACCCTTCAGCTTATTGTCACCCTCATCGCCAGTCCAACCTTGCCAACTCTTCGTCATGATGGACAGAATTTTCTCCCTCCCGTCCAAATTCGGCAGAGGAAAGTAGAATTCGCGGTCAAACCGACCAGGCCGACGCAAAGCAGGATCGATAGCGTCTGGTCGATTCGTCGCGCCAATGACCACGACTTGACCTCGCCCGTCCATACCGTCCATCAGAGCTAGTAGGGTAGAAACAATGGAGGCATGTATTTGATCCTGCTTCGACGATCGCACAGGCGCTAAACCATCAATTTCGTCGAAGAAGATGATAGAAGGCTGGGAGGCGCGCGCTTCCTCAAACAAAAGGCGAAGTTGCCGTTCAGCTTCTCCGACCCATTTTGAGAGCGCGTCAGCTCCTTTACGCATGAAGAAAGCTGAGATGGCTGGTTAGTCGTATAAAGTAAACCATCGTAATTCGACGTACAAATCTGCTTGCCATTGGAACGACAACTAGCTGCCAAAGCGCGCGCTAGCAAAGTCTTTCCTGTACCGGGAGGCCCGTGAAAGAGAACGCCTCGAGGAGGAGTGACATTGAATTGTTGAAAGACTTCGGGGTATAGCAGCGGAAGCAAAGTCATTTCCTTCAGTGAATGTATATCTAGGAATGATTGGTACGTGTGCGAAATGACCATATACAAGAGCTCACGATCATCTAGGCCACCAACTTCGTCAAATGTAACATTGACATTGACGCCCAAAGGGTCAGCATCAGCAAGACCTTAGACAAGCTATCAGTGGCAATATGTGCGACACTAGCTTCGAACGTACTGGCATCAGTCACCTTGCCCAGGTTGGAGGGAGTCCCAGAAGCGGCAAAATCAGGCGGCAAAAGGCCGCTGCCACCAGCAGCCACACCTCCCCCGTCGAATGCACCAGCGCCTAGGCCGAAAGGCTTCTTAGGTGTTCTGGTAGGTGCATCGGAATCCGAGTCGTCTCCTGGCAAACCCATCCATCGTCCTAGCTCGGCACCACCTGCGCTCCAGCCAGGACCTCTCTTGCGATGGTAAGGTTTCCTTCCACCGCGATTATTGGATTTTGGAGGTGGGTGAGGCAGTTCTTCAAGGGGCGGTGGTATGGCATAGTTGACAGGAGCGCGTTGTCGCAGCTTGTATCCTTTGCCTTCTTCCTCCT